TTATAATTACAATTTGTGTTTCTTCCTCTTTAAAAAGAAATTATAATTATATTTTATATTAATTTTCTTTAATTTTTATTACATATTATTTAACATACGTACATGCGCTTTTTTATTGTGTTATTGCAAAATCTAATAAATTTTTCTGTTTTTTTCTCCGAGTTTAAGTCTTGATATTGTTCATCACGTGGAACTTATGTTCTAGAAGTTCGTCGTCTGTTCACGACGCGCTTACTTGGCTTGCGAAATTTTTCCGAATATTCCGTATGGAGCTGGGTCGTAAATAAAAGGGAATCGCGCAAGTTTCGCGTACCCGGCGGCGGACTGTTCAGGACCACAATGTGAATTGCACACGGGATTTTGGTGTCTTCCAACCCGAGTTGGAGGAAAGCGTCGGAAAGCGTCGATTCGGCGTCCCAGCAGCACGCAGCGTAGTGCTCTTCCTTTCTCTCTCTCTCTCTCTCTCTCTCTCTCGTTTTATCTCTCATCCTCTTCTTACGATCTCCTTCTCTCTCTATCGATGCAAAAAGACATCCCCGAGAGAACGAGATCACCTTGCCGACGAAGGCGGCAAAGATGCTAAATTCACCGGAAACTATTCGGCCATCGAACTAATTTAACGCTCGGTTTAACAGGGTCGCCCGACCTGTCCTCGACTTGTTCCACTGCGATGCGAATCGCGGCCATAAAGGAGCCGTCGACTATCTCGATATGACTTTCGCTCTATCTCACCGACGAACTTTTAGTAGAGATCGAGTGACATTATCGTCGATAGTAAGATACCTTCTGTGCTTTCTCAGTTATGAGATCGCACGTCTCGTCTACTTAATGAGAATTCAGCGTAAATTTAACTTTTAGTGTTCTTCGTAAGTCTGGCAATCCTCACGATGCATCTCGGCACGGAAAAAAGTTTGGTACGGTTTTTTCGGTTTAGAAGCTTTTGGTCTGAAAGCTGAACTGAGAGCGTTGGAAAAATTCCAGCGATCTTAATTAATGTTATGTCCGGGTGCCAAATGTGGTGTCTTTTTTTGAACGAGATTTTTCGTGAGTCGTGTTAAATTAGATGTTACGCATTCTTCTCGGTTGGCTATGTATAAAATTATCTTGTTCATTGAAAATTAATATAAAACTGACAGTAAAGTTCTGTTTTTAATATATATTCGTATACTATATAAAAATGTATCAATAAATAGAAGAAATTAACTTTTTATCCTTTTTAGAACTTCCTAAAATCTATAAAATATTATATCTATAAAAATATTATATCTATAAAATTTTAACTATAATAGTTTTTAAGTTATTGCGAATAAATAATATGCTTTCAAAATTTTTCGCCTGCGAAAATTTTTTTCGACACAATGAAGGTAAATATTTCTGTACCTTACAAAAAAATCACGCGACGGAAGCTATTAAGCATTGTAAAGTATCGGATGTTGGCAAAGACTTGATATTAAATTCCATCCATCCGTTTGACAAACAATAGTCTCGCAAACATTCTCGAATGTCCACGTGGACTAATTTTTCTCTACGACAGAAGCGTTGAACTCTTAAAAGCAACGTAAGTTAAAAAAATTGAAAAAACATATCGATATTACGTCACATGATCAACAGCGTATTAGGCTTTGTTTTTTGAGATGCGTGGTCTTAAAAATTTCAATTCTAAATGGTCCGCAATTCGCATAGTTGCACTCAGCTTTTTTTAAATGCTACTACCTCGCCTAAAAGGCTGCGTTTCTCTAAAATGCGGCGGAGAAGTGTTATAACTCCGTGTCGCTGGCACGAAAAGCAATGAGGGGAAAGAGGAGCGATGAGAGGTCACGAAAAATACGGGGGCGGTGTAGGTGATAACAAAAAGAGGCGGGAGGACGCTGAACCGCGAAAACAAGACACTGACTCGACGAAGCGGCGCTAAGCCTTTTGTCGCGATCGTGCCAATCTTATCAATTTCTCATCGGCAGTTTTTATGCACTCACAAAAAATTTATTTTCGACAGATAAAACTATTCTTCATCGTTCAATTGTTTTATATTAACAATATATACGGGGAGTATAAAAAGTTATTCAGCATTTATATAGTAAATCTACAATTATTTATACAGAGTCCCGACTGCAATTTTTACAATTTTGGTTTTTTTTAGTATGAAAAATGCTATTAGAACTGTCATTATTTCTTTCATATTAATAGAATCATGTTAACGAATATCCAAAAATCTGTAAAAATAGCATGACGTTCTATTATAATAAGTTAATTATTATACTAACATACAAAATTGTTTATATCTCAGAAACGATTGAGTTTTCGTGTTCATTAAGGTTTTTTTACTTGATATTGTGTGTTATATTTACTATATAAATGTTGAATAATTTTTTTTAACACCCTGTATATAACAATAACAAAATCTATCTTTCTCAAAGGGAGAGTGAAGAAATTGCGACACCTAAAGAAAAAATAAAATAAAATCGATGATTATTAATCAATTAATAAAAGACTTTATCCAAAAGATACGCCTGTTTGGCTTTAAAATACAATAATTAACATTCACATATTACCAATATAAGCTATAATTAAAAAAAAATCCTTGCTATTCAGAATTACTTGCCGTTATGCGAAGTAAAATTATAATTTATGTTATATTAATAACATGTAAATGTTAATTATTGTAGTTAAATGTTTAAAGCTAATATCTTTTGAATAAATATTTCTATAATTAATAATCTCATCGGTTTTATATAATTTTGATATTAGCAATGTCCCCATTCCTTTCTATATCAAAATCATCGAAAATACGTAATGATATTTACTTTAACCAGCTTATGCGTTTTATGATTATAATGACACTTGGGCTAGATGCAAGAAATAAGAGATTATCATTACTCTAATGCTGCAATAGTAGCACGTTCACGTTTATTTCATGTTCACAGTTCTCCCACTGTCTCCTAATAATTAACTTATTAAGTTTGCTTTTTAATCAAACGATACATTATTTTATAAAATCACAATGAGATAATTGAAGCATCCTTAAGTATGCTTAATGAAAGAGGATTAATGTAGCGACACTTTGTGCGTCTCTGGAATTTTCTGTAATTCGCGTCTGTGATACCTCTCAACTTCTCAAATGCACAAAGCGTTAATTTAACAGCGAGTGATGTCGCTAGGAAGCGAACAATATGCTTGTCCAACTCTTCCTTCGTCATCTTATCAGCTTCAATGTGTGCGACCAAAATAGACAAGATGGTGCACTCTCATCATTAGCCTTCCATTGTTCCGTAGTTCTCATCCGCGTTCGACCTATTTTATGCCTTATCAGTCAGCATCTCTACAAGGTACTGGCTGAAGTACACCGGAGAAACTACTGAGTTCTCGTGACGAGATCGTCCGTACCACCGATTGAAATTATCGAATTTTCGTGACGAGATCGTCAGACACCCTTTGTGCCACCATTCCGGATGGTATAAACACAATAGCTTCGGCTAAATAAAGAAAATAAGCGACGAGTCACTTATAAATTAATCATACATTAATTAGAAAATTGCTAAAATAAAATCTTCGTGTTATATGTATTTCTAATCCTCAATAACTAAACTACATCTAAATTCTAAATGAAAACTACATCTAAATTCTAAAACGTCCTATTTGAAGTACAGAACGCAAATAACTTATACCTTCGGCGACAGGAAAATTCGATTTTAATCTAGATAATTTAAAATTTCATAGCATCAATTAAACAGATTTTACAACCGTTTGAAATTTTTGCTTCGAATCTAAATAACTCATTGCTGTAATTACGGATTAATTATAATTAAGATATAAATAGTGAACTAGAAAATCTAATCACTGAAGTAATTTGTTAGTTTATGGAAAATTGCGAAGGTGAGTTAAATACTGAAAAATTACGATGTTGAAAAAACATGGTTCGACTAAATAAAATGAGATTTTATCAATTTTTCCATGAAAGGAATATCTAATAAATTCAGAGAAATTAGGGGATTTTCTCGAATTTGTTTGCATAGGACATAGCAGGTGCAGCCTGCCGTTGTCCTTTCAAATACCGAGCATATTTTCGACGATGTCGGTGCATTTGGCTCAACGGGTCGGCAGAAATATCGTCGGCGAACATTTCGGCCATTAGCATTTCGGACACTCATGATTTATTCATGAAGAAAGCGCCACGTGCGACCGGAAGCCGAAGAGGAGGCTGAAACTACCAGAGGTCGGCGGCGTGTGGGAAATGCGCAACAATGCATCACGATTCACTGTGTGCGGAAGGCCAAGCGTGAGAGAACCATGTATAAACGTGTTTAGTTAAGTAGATGCATAAAATGCGGGGATATTCTGCGTCTGGGCATCCCGAGAAATGCTATGGATGAACGGCCGCTCACGTACAGGGTGGATCACAATTATACCGCTAGAACATTTCGCCCTGAACACATGAAACGTAACGGGCATAAGAGATTAGCGAGATGTAAGAGATCGCCGAGGGAACGTTTATGCATGGCCCGTGAGTTTCGCGAAAGATGCGCATTTACATTCTTTTATATAATATTTTTGAGAGAAAGAAATTTAAATATTATTTTATATGTAAAAAAAGATATTACACAATATTATATTTTACATATAAAAGAATTATTTTTATACTATATTATTTTATACTGTAATTATTTTTATACTGTAAATTTTAAAGATAATTAATAGTTGAGCTCTTGTATTACTATGAAAATAAGAAAGATTGAGATCAATGCCAGAATTTCTTTTTAATCAGCATCCCTTGTCGGGTGTTTCTGCAAATTGCTACTATTAGACTATTCGGCGTATTAATTATTGCATAATTAATGCCTCATTATTATTCAGCTTTTTACGTGCTTATCGTTAACTTCGTATTTTCCTTTCCTTAACTTCGTGGTAATCTCAGAGCTCACTTAGAGTATCGAGGGAGGATTTCCGGACTTCTACTCGAAGAGATCCGGGCTGACGGACTTACGAGGAGTCCTACGAGGACTTACCGGTAACCACGAGCCTGGCGTACGAGGAACTTTCCACGGTGTCACCGGTAACGTGGTGTACAGTGCGGCAACGGTAGGTCGAGTGAGCATCAGCTGGAGTCACCGAGAAGATGAGCAGCTCTCCGGTGGGCAGCATATGGTGCTTCTCGCCTGCGAACAGAAACAGCAACAAAGCGAAAGTCAGCGATATTGCACGGGAAAGAGCAAAATGTTTTGTATCGTTTGTTCATAATTTTGGTACATATAAAGAAAAAAAAATTTTTCTTTAGGAATATAATCAGCAGCAAAAGGAAAAAATTTATCATACGATTTTAGTAGGATATTAAATTAGATGTGACAGAATTATTGCACAGGAGATTCTATTATAAATCAAAATGTTTTTTATAGTTAAATGAATATATTGTGTTAGATTAATTTTATATTAGTATATTCCCTGCTAAAAATGAGACAGGTATTTGCAAATTCGGAAACGGTGGAGGGAAAATTATTTTTTAAATTTATCCCAACCTGCCCTCTCTTCTAAAGTACGACGTGAACTCCGCGAAACACTCAGCGTGGCGCATTTTTCATCGACTCAACGAGTCGCTTTCTCATTCTCTCTCCTATATTCGCGCCTGTCTCGTCTCCGTTGGCCTTTCATTAATATGGAAATTTCTTCTAATGGAAAAATGCGCAGGCGAATCTCACGCGCGGAAGCGGCCGGCTATAAAAATTGCGTTATGAGAAACAATAGTAGCTGCGGAGAAAATAATTCGTTAAACTAGTCCCCTCCTAATGAAGGGATCGACTCTGTTTAAGCGATCCAATATAAAAAGAACGATCAGCAGCAGGACCACGCTCGACGCGCTGGAACGCAAAAAGGAGAAGTATCGACACGAGTGAGAATCAATACTCGTAAAAATTCGAGCGTAACCACTGGGAGAGCGTGCCTGCTAGCACACTCGGTGGCTTAAAACGGTGGATATTCTGCTAAAATAAAAAAAAAAGATTAACGCCTCTCGAGTGAATTCCGCTGACGATCGGTGTTGCACGCGCTCGTGCCTCCTATCATATCCCCGAGGATGAAGCTTCGAAAAAATTATTTAAAGAGTTTTTAAATAGATTTTTAAATACATTCTGATCTGTCTCCCTTTTCTTTCGATTATATATTACAACGTTGCATTTTCTATTAAAATTGGGAAGAAACAGAAACTGGATCACGAGTTTTCATTTATTAGTAATTTGACTCGTGTTCATTATTAATAATATTTTGATATTATAAGTTCGTGCTATTTTCAACGCTAATTGTAAGAAGCAGAATAATCTCTGATATTACTATATTAATGAATATTTCAATAATAAATTGATAATTAACGCTCCGCGTACACAAAGCAAATGTACGCAACATGAAAATATATTGTCTGCCCTTTCTCTCTCTCTTAATACAGCTGTCCGTCATATTTAATAAATAAATGGCACACGTTTGCATGTGATAAAATATAAACGCTGTCAACAGCTTGTTGTTCAAATCAATAAATTGAAAAACGTATCTAAAAGCATTCAACAAATACTTATACATGTTTAGTCTGCATTCATAAATAGAATTATTATATTATTCTCGTTGTAGTCGCAAAATTCATGTATAAAAAAGAATATTAGAAATGTAAAATGATCCTTTTTCATTTCAATTAATTAATCGCATTCCATATAAGTGTTCCGTGTAAATACATAATGTTCGAGTTTTGAGATAAAATTTATATTTTCAAATGCATTGCTTTTATAGAGAGTACTGGGCAAAATTTTTAATTCGAAGAATTCTAGATACGAAAAACATGTTTACTATTGAACTCTGTAAAAGCATCAAATATAGCATATTACAAGCTCAATAATCGACCAGTCACGCGTAATTACCTATGCCATCGAAATTAATATTGCGAATTTCACTAATTGTTCGCAATATGTACGAATAATTGAAAAATTCTCTCGCAATGCAGTGCAGGAAAAGAGACATATAGATAGCTACAGAGATAAAGAAAGGGAGAAAGAAAGAAGGGAGAGGGCGAAAGAAACATCATAATGAATTAATTTCCTGATGGTTGAACAGTCGATAGAACACGTCGATAGAAGTTGAATTTAAATTCGCCGACATTGAATGCTTTCGACAATGAATGAACATTAACCAAACCCCGCAGGAATTTAATGGGCCTATACCATGGAAAACTGATTCTCCGAAAGCTCTTCGCTGCGAAGAGTTTTCAGTTATCTTTCTCGAATTGGCAATCGTACTAACAGGCTACTTCACTTCCTCGTTTTACTGATCTCATGCACTTGATATTCTGCATTATATGAGGATTAATCAAAGCGAATAACATGGAGAATACTTCGTTATTGGAAAATTTTAATTTCCTCGGTAAACAATTAATGTGCGGAATGTAAGGGCCAATGCACATTTTGCTTGCGTAATATTTTTTGCGATAAATAAAATTTATATTACACCGTTCTTCAGTTCAGTTTCATTTGCCTTTATAAATAAAGTTGTTCTGGAGATACCAGTTTTTTATTTTCTTCATTAAAATTCATATGAGTTGTACTGTAATACAGTTTATCTATACGATCGAATACGAAAGCATTACATAATTTTCATTAATAGATATACAAGATTTCATTAATTATTGTTGTACCTAGGAAATTTTATTTCTCGGGTTGTTTTAAATTTCCATGTTAAATAAGACCGGAAATATTTTTCGGTTGAAATTTTTCACGAAAAGAAAGATGACTCTCTCAGTTAAAGAATACGCTTCGGTAATTCGTGATGGAAGTTTCATATCTGCGGTTCCTATTTGTTGCGCGCGTTTAGGTCAGCATCCGGATATACCTGCATCTTTCGCATCACGTGACACGAATTAGAAACCTAGCGGACGGAAACGCGGTAAATGAGAGCTGTGTCCAATCATTTTTTTTCCCCTCGGCCGGAATTCACTGCGGTCGCGATTACTCACATTTTTCCGCAGTCGCGCTCGGAGACGTGCATGTATAGTATATCACGGTGGCGCGCCGGCGTTTTCCGCCTCCGTAAGCATGTCGGCCGCATGTACGCGTGACTCCGTGGAAAAATGCATCGCGCGAAAAATATCTCGCAGTCTCTCCCTTTACGTTCGCCAGTTTCTCCCTCATCCCTTCACCACCGTGCCCTCTTCCTCATGTCTACAACGTTCAAAACGAGTGCATTTTCCGCCGATGCGTTCGCATCCGCGCCGCGCTGGCAATGTCAATATTTCGTTGTTGGCGCCGCGAGCATCCTCGCCGCGTGTGCACGTTTATAACGGGAGAAATTGCGCGAAATTCCAGCCGTTGAAATGCGTCGGGAGGGAGAAAGGACAGACGGGTAGTAGAGAGGTGCGAGCAGGAATGCACGTAAGTCTGGTTACCTTAAGATCGTGCTCGTGCAATGCAATGGTGGTGCATACCGTCGGCGCCCACCGGCTGCATACGGCGATGAATGCCGACCGTATTGCCATCGTATGAGAGAGAAGGGGGTAAGAGAAATGGATGGGTCTAACCATGGTAAAGAAAAGAAGCGTGAGGGAGGAGAGACGAAGCAATGAATCGATCGTAATAAAAATAACTCGAGCGCGAGGGATTCTTCGGCGTTTTGTCCGCTCATTGTGCGCCGCCCCGGAATGATTATGCGCGGCGATCATGCCGTCGGGCATGAGAAATAGTTGGCATACTTAAGGGGTTCCAAGTACGGAACATCCTTATATATATAGGGATGTTAAAATTTATTTCGAACTTGTTGACAATCGACTGTGGCAGTAATTAAATACCTAATCGGATTGTATTAACTTTTTCTAATAGTTTCTAATAGTTTCTGGCAGGATCTAATTAATTTCAATTGTGTTTCAATTTTCGATAACGTTAATTAAAATTGTATTTCAATTACTATTATTTTTATACATAATGGAAGTAAATATCTATATCATAATTAATTATATATTGTGCTATAATTAAAAATTGTGCTATAATTTGCAATTATATTTTATCCTTGAATATTTATAAGAAGTGACAGTATTTTATTAATATTAAAATCTTTTTAAGAATTCATATATTTTATTTATAATGGATGCGTGTATATAAATAAAAGTATCTCTTTTATGGATGTATACATAAAACATCATCGGAAATACAGAATGTTAAGTAACAGAAATGACTATGATGTAGCTGGTTAAACGCGGATATTAATTGCTTTTTTATGTGATGCGCAAAGAAAATAATTAACTTCAATGGAAATAAATATGATATTTGATGTAATTTTTTCGGTTAATTAAACTTTCTATTAAACAATTAGAAAGCATCATTGATGAACAAAAGCTAATAAAATTTGATATTTATTTCTTTCATGACAATGCGTACAATATCTTTAGCTTTATCGTACAATGTCAATCGCAAAATACTAAAGCTATACTAATCAAATTTTATCATTAATAAAATTATAGACCAACAAAAATTCATACAGTTCACAACTAATACTTAATTAAACTAATATCAAGGGAATTTAACAGTACTTAAAGGCAAAAGAGTTAGAGAAATTTTGCTATGGCTAACTGAAATCCCTGCTGTTCCTCAGGGAGACTTTAGTACAGCTATGAGATTCATACGCGAATACAATTTCGTGCTATAATAAAGGTAATGGACTATGTTTGAGAGTTCACGAATCGCGACGAACCGTTATGGACTTTCGACCAAACACTGGCGGCGGTGGCCAGAAGTTATTTGTTTAGTTGATGAAGCGACGATCTATCCGATATCGCGAGAGCGAGCTCTATAAATATTTTTATAATATAACCGAACACCCAGTAAATATGAGTGTGTCAGCATATAACAAATCAAAGGTGTATTGAAGCGAAAAATAAAAGTACTGCCACCGATCTAATAGGCGTAGCGAGATTCCTTTCAACAACGAATCTGCAAAAGGATACACATAAGGGAGAGTTGACTCTGGAATCAAACGTCACAAATTGGTTGTGCTGTGAAATCCGCGAAATACTGATAAGTGCTGTGAAATTTCTTGAACGTTGAATAAATTAGTAATTTATATCCGCATACTGTCAACCGCAGTATTTGAACAGCATCCTTTATTTTCGATATTTTATATATACATCAATAAACAA